ATATGCCCCCTTTTCCCCCCATGGACTTTTTTTACCCTCCCCCCCCCCCCCCCCCCGCCTTCACCACACTATTGTCTTTGGGTGACTGTTTCATTCTTATGACTGACCCAGCCTTCCCCGGCCCCTAGATAGAGCTGGCTTTGCAATCACATCACAAAGTAGTGCTGCGGCTGACACTCTAGAACCCTGGCTGTTCTGTTTTGTTCTTTGAAATGACCCCAAAGACAACAATTTGAGGGTGGCCCTGACAGTAGGGTATTCTACAGTTTCCCTGGGAATCAGGAAAGTGTAGGATAGCCATTTCCCTAGCCACTGCTATTGGAGGTGAGCAACAGGATTTCAGATACAAAACCAGTGACACATCTGGCCCTCCTGTCCTTCCAGGCTGTCCACAACCAGCCAAGATCAAACCCTAGGGTAATTCTGCCTAGTCAACAGCTATGTAAACACCCACTTTGCAGGCTTGGTAGAAGGATTCTGGAGATAACATACAAACATGCTATAGTTCATGCTTTGGTACAGAGTCCCTGCTGGTGTAAAACATTTTTATTATTATGCAACTGCTTGTATTTCATTTTAAATGGAGAAAAAAAGGGAATGCTGGACTTTGCTGGGGCCAGTTTCATAATATTCTACCATGGTTATCAGCACATCATGCCAACAATTCCCTGACTTCTCACCAGCCAGGCCTTCTCAGAACAAAAGAAATAGTAGGTTGGCAACCTCCCATCAAGTGTGCGTGAGTCACACAGATGCCTAACCAGGAAATTAATTTAGGATCACAAAAAACACACACACCACATTTTGAGCTGAATGGTGCAAAACCAACAAAGGAATCTCCTATTCTCGTTAAGACAAAACTTTGGACACTAAGTCAACTTTTCTCCCTCCCTAAAGAGCCATTTCTTTATACTTCTAGTGTGGCTGTATTTTTAGTGTTAGGTGGTTTTCTTTCAGAGAGAGACAAATTATACCTGAAATAAAAGCCTTTCTGCAGTAGGAAATGACCATATCAAACTCTCTCTTCTCTAAACTGCCTCTTCAGACCCTCAAACATCAATAATATAATTCTAAGAGACTGCTCACCTGAACAGTATTTTAAAATATTTACAGATCCTAAAAGCTGGGCCAGGTTTATATACGATTGCTGAAATGGCTTTTTCAGATAAGTAGGATGAAAAATGAATGTGGATGAGGCTATGACCCATCCAAGCTACGAATTTCAAAATAACTGCCTGAGGGTTACACTTACTCTGAGATAACAAATTAAAAATGGCAAGTCAATGAAAAACAGGACCAGCAGCAAAATGTATGCAAGAGTGACACCTGCTGGGAGTCTGAGGAAGAAAACCCTTAGGCTTGCTAGATTCAATCACTGAAATGGATCAATGTATTTTCTGGCTCCTAAATAAGAAACCCTTTGTTATTGTCACTAAGAAAATGATAGTAAACAGTGTAGGCATCAAATACACCATTTATTCTGGCTCTCCTTTCCCCAGGTTCCTTCTAACAGCCAAGAGGCTATGCTTTCACTGGGCAGCTAAATCAGGTATCCTAGCATTAGCACAAACACCTTTTTCTGGGGTAGGAGCTCTCAATGGCTCTTTTAATAATTAGAATGGCATGTGTAGGTCACTCAGGACTCACACATGCAGGCAATAAAGAAAACCCCTATTTGTATGAAGTTGATCCTTAATACGCTCAGGATCCATCCAACATTTGGAACATATTTCTGCTTTAGCTAAAATGGAATAAAGTTTAGAATTCTGACCAAATGGGCTGTTTGCCAACGAATCCAGCTCCTACATCCAGCCAAAAAAAAAAAAAAGGGGGTGGGGGGTGGGGTGGGAATCATGTGTCAAAACCCAATTCTAAGCAGTCAATTCACAGAAAATGCAGGCTGGCTATGGCTGGACATTAGAGGTCCTAGGGGGATGAAAAAGACTAATTCAGGCCCACAGGTGGCCTGCACCTGGGAACAGAGCAAATATTCAACGAGGTAGCCTCACTTCCTACAGTAGCTGCAATAAACCAGGCTGCCTTGAATGAGTGAACTGATGAAAAACTCCTCTGTAGAAAGACTGGACTCACAGAAGTTGGGGAGGTATGAAGGGCAAAAAAAAAAAAAGTGAATTTATGTTCAACATATTTCCTGCAGGTTTAGTGGAGACTAATCCACCCTCACCCCACCCCGCCCCCCTCACCCTCCAGCAAGTCTTCTTTCTTCAACAAGCCATTTCTGTTCCTGGAAGAGTTAACTGATTTGCTTCTGCTGGAGAGTCAGCAGCACTGGGAACTAGGGTGTCTTCCCCTTCCTTTCCTTCCAAAAAGGCCAGCAGCCTCAGGCAAGCCAAGGTCCTTTCCTCCTGAATGCGCAGTCTTGTGAACTCCACTGTCTTCAGGAACGCAGCAGGTGGTGGCAGCTCTTTGAAGAGCTGGGAAAGGAGGTGGCACTGCTCTGATGCTGTCCTTTGAAGATGACAGAGCCTCTCAGGGCTCAGGGGATGCCAGCTGGACTTGGAGAGGAGATGGTAGAGGTTCTTGTAGAGGTATCTCACAAAGATCAGGGTCTCAGCCCAAAAGTTGATTTCTGCTTTTTCAAACAGGTAGTCTTCTTCCACCTAAATCAAATGAAAAGCCAAAAGTCAACCTTACAGGGGATGCTTGCAAACCCCAGTCCAGATCAGAGTCCTACCAGGTGCAGAAGAG